TAAAAAAAAAAACTGCTCCTCACAGCACGGAGTAGTTGCTCCGTCCGTGTGCGCACGGAGGTGCTATCTCCGTGCAGCATGGAAATAGCACGGAGGTTCTCCGTGCTGCACGGAATCTCCGTATGCCTCCATGGAGCACGGAGATAGCATGGCTGTCTCCTAGTCTCCCTGTCTCCGTGCGCGCACGGAGGTGCTATCTCCGTGTAGCAAGGAGATAGCACAGAGGTTCTCCGTGCACACAAGGAGACTCTGTGCTCTCGTTGTCTAGAATTTTTTTTTTCTTTCTTCGTCCTTCTAGAGCCAATATGAATGGTTAATACTCTTCTTATCACACAACCATTGAATTTGTTAATTTACCAAATATCAAACACCATTTAGCCCTTTGCAAATTTCAAATCCAACTCCTGAATATAAGTAAAGAAGAAGCAGAAACTCACTATGAGCTATTGGTCTGAACTTGCCAACTGAAGAATCAAAAATTTCCTTGAGTCTCAAAATATCTGATTCAGTCTAGCTTCTTCTCTTTGATTTGTGAGTTGATGAGGCCGATCATATCAGATAGTCACTCGCTACCATTATCAACAGAAGTTGGCCTTTTTTTTTTTTTGCAGCAATATATCAGGCAATTTGGAAGCTTGAAAGCCGATTAATTTATTTGTTGTTTGAAATCTCAAAATATAATAGGAGAAGAAACTGTGTCATTGCAATTGCATTTAGTGCATTTGCATGTATAGTGTGAAAAGTGGCAAAATACAGTGTAACTGAGTCGATTTGCAGATGTTTTTTTTATAATTAAGTCGGCAAATTTTTTTGTCCACATATGCAATAGTAATACTACAAAGGATGAAACCGGTTTCAAACCAAATCAATGTGAAAACCAATGTGACAAAAATGAATCGTGAATCTCACATTCTCTCTTTTAAGTGAAGGAGTGAAATGTTGTTCACAACTTGGGTCGATGTCTAAAATATTATAGTTAGACATATTTTAGAATGGTCACACATATGTAAGTCAAGATCTCTTTAATGTGACATTGATATTATTCAAATAAATCTCGAGGATTTAATGTTGTCACAATACATATTCGAATATTTATTGACGTTTTTGGCATAATATTCTAGTTGTGAATGATTTGGATTTGTAAACGAAGTATGTCGTGAATTACAATCATGCTACTCAAATAGGGAATTTTGACTGAAAATGTTGACAACCAACACTTGGTGTGCATTCATTGGAAGATGGAAAAGTAAAAAAAAAACAGACGGCTTACAATTCGTCACGTCAGCTTTGTCAACTTTCCGTGTCAAAAATCCTTGGTAGCTTAATTTTGCGAATTAAATCAATACTAGATTGATTGATGACCAGCAACCTAGGTATTAATTAAGTAATGTCAAGTAACTAAACCTCAATATGAGTCTTAATGTCAAATCACTTAATTGAAACACAGGTTGTTGAAGGAATCTAGATGAATAACATTACTCTACTCACAAAAGATGTAACAAGAAGGGCCATATTTGTTTCTTAATTCTTTAAATTTTTAAAAGTGAATAATATTATCATGTGAATGTACCTGTTTACGACTAAATAAATTCATAAAAAATCTTAGAAAATTCAATTTGAATGAATCGAATTAAGCATGTTTCTAATTTTTAATATGTGCAATGTATTTACGCGAAATAATAGCTATGTGCATTGTATTTGTGCAAAAATAATAATTAACGCGATGGTTTAGAAATTTAGAACTACATTTCCATGTTGCTATACGATATCTCAACTCTAGTAGCTTTAGGCACATGGACAATTGAGAAAGGAGAAATAGCTTGTTAGGTATTTGGATAGCTATCTTCCTTTTTGAGAAAGGTTCTAACTCAACTTTAAAGTGTTTAAAATTGAAATTATATAACAAATTAAGTAGTATTCTTAACTTCAACTTTATTATGATGTATTTGGTATGTTCATTGGACGAAATTAGACAAAATTTATTAATGTCACATTTTATAAATCTTTTCGACTCAATTGGATCGTTTTTTTTTTAAAGCACAATTAAGTCACAAATAAATTAATAAAAGGGTAATTAGTACATAATATCTTTATCTTTCACCGTTATTGCGAAAAACGTACATACCTTTTTTTTTTTTTTACATTTTCACCCTTGATTACATATTTGATTGTGCAAACCAACGTTTCCATTCATTTTTTCAATAAAGAACTGCGAATTAATAAATATACCCTCATATTTTCGCCGCTTATAAAGTTAATAGAGTACGATTAACCTCTGAATTTTGGAAGGTTCCAATATGGTTCCAAAATAAAAAATTAGAACCAAGAATCGACTAGATTTCAATCGGTTCTTGGTTCTTGAACCAAACTCATGAACACCTGACTTTGGAATCGAATTTATTATTTATTAATATTTACTTTGATCCAATTACCCAATGGTATGAAAAGAGAAATCGACAATGTTGATTGTTATGATGTATTTGAATGAATGAATTTATGTTATTTTTAGCATTTTTAGTTACTAAAATACTGCCTGACTATTTGTTTCTAATTTTTGGTTTGTTCATTTGGCATATTATGATAGATATTCAATGATATTTGATGGCATGTTTTGCTATATATTGAATCCCATTTGATGACATATTTTATTTTTTCTATTTGTGCTAGATTTTGAGAAGATAATCTATATTGTCAATTTTTTTAAAAAAATAAACTCAACTCGAAATCAGAACTGACAATTCGAGTTTGAATTCAGTTATATTAAGTATATGAACTCAAATAATTTCATTTACGAAATATTCAATATAATAGATGATTTCGAAATTAAAATACTAACTGTGATTAAGATAGGTATGTTTGGGAACAAAGGTTAAATTAATGTTAATCAAGAAAGAGGACAAAATTAATACTACTATTAATTGAACTTTAAAATAATAGAAATAGAAGTTGCTGATACCATGAGGAATATTCTGTCTCCCAATGGGTTTTAACTTTTTAATCACTCTGTCATCATTTCATCTCAATCATTGAAACCAATTTCCTACTCAATTTTATTTTTATACTCAAAATCTATGATAAAACCTTGACTAGACTTTTAATTTTTTTTTTTATATATAAAATTCGTAAACGAGGAATTTTATTTCGAGTTCAAATCTCCATTTCATCCATTTATCGGATTTAAATTATTAGACGGACGCTTTCTCACTTCATTGCATTGACGATAAAAAGAAAATCAGATGTCAATTTTGATCAAGTTTGTAGTAAATTGGCTATAAATTGGCTATTTGAATAGTAATTTTTAGGATAAATCTCGTCTAACTTGTATCGTTGTCCAAAGTATATATAGAAATCTCCTTGTCGCCCCATTTTATGGGTCGAACATTTGATAAAAAGAGTCGATATGACCTATAACGTGTAGGGACCTGCTAAAAATCAAAGTCAATTTATCCTTTTAGACGAATTAGTTTATAAGGAATTATGCTGAATGAGAGCCCACTAATTTGAAAAAAATGGTCCAATTCTTCATTTTTTCATCACAAGCATACTGGCCAACCAGGGGCATAATAATAAGAAGTAGCTACAAATACGAAGTTCGATCTTAGCAACTAAACCCTAACCCCAACCAAGAATGGCT